TTTCCTACTCTGTATCCTGTAGATGGCACTGTGTTATAGAGGAGGAACACAACTACACAGGTGGGAAAGGGTTTTCTATCACATTCAAAAAAGAAAAAAAAAAATCCATTTTCCTCGCTCCAAAATAAAATCTGAGAAAAAGCTATTAAAATCTGAAAGAAACTGGAGCTTGTAACATTGTCCTAAGACCCTGTAAACAATAATGAGTAAGAAACTCAGTAGACATGCCACAAGTAAAAAAGCTCAGGAAAATAGAGAGGTTTCTTTACTCAAGGCTGTTAATCTGCTGTAGCTGCTTTGCGTTTTGTTGCAGAATCAAGATCCAAGCAAGACACAAAAAGCCTTTCCTTTCATGCTTTTCTATTACTCAACGTCTAGGTGATGCTGAGATATAGCAGAATAGCACAGTCACACAAGCTGGAAAATATGTTCTTCCACTTTCAGAAATAAGTACTTAAGCAAGACTTTCTGTCTGGAGCTTTCTGGTGCTGCTTCTTGCTGAGTGTCTGCAAGTTGAGCGAGGGTTCCTCCTCCTCCTCCTCCTCCTCTTCTGACTTTTAACAACAACCAAACAAAACCAATTTTGCTTTTCTCAGCTTTTAGACCCTTGACAAGCAGCAACTCTGGAAAGTCACAAGGCAGGAAATCCTGGTCAAATTCTCTAGAGAGATTTTTAGAAAGTTCAAGTAGACAGAGGAGGCTGAAAGAAAAAATGGGATTCAGGTAACCTATACATCCCTTGCCCACCTCCTTATGGCGAGGTGAGCACTGAAGTTCTACACCCTGAAATTCTCTCACATAAGAAGTGTTAAAATGGCAACCTTTTCATACTGAAATGCAGGTTGCAGAAAGGCAGGTGAGGTTTCAGCACAGCTCTAAGAAGTGTAACATATACTCTCACTTCGGGAAGAAGATCCAACGAGTATGTGACTGCCAGTCATTGCCAGGAGCTCAGGCTGGAGATGTACCTGATTGATTCATCGACGAGTTTTATGGCTTTGCAGAACACCTCTTCAAAGCTTGATTTCCAAAGAATACAGCAGCTTTCCCCAGATGGTGCCTTCCAGTGCCACAAACGTAACTCCCACTATCCCTTGCCAGCAAGCCCAGATGCTGTGCACCATCAGAAAAAGAGCTCTCACTCTGGTCATCATCCACCTTATATCAGATGGCCATAGCTTAATCTATGGGCACTTACCTGTGAGTAATTCTCACTGAATTCAGTGGGACTCTTTTTTTTTTTTACTAACTATGCCCAGAGTGGTATTATCTTGCCCACATAGGCTGCAGTGCTTAAATATTTGAATGTTCTAAACCCTTTAATCTTCATGGGATGGGTTGCGCTTTTCAAGTTGTTTCTCTAGTTTAACTTGCTAGAACATTTGCAAGTAACCTTTGCCCTCTGCAATGCAAGGCAGATTTCCCTAGCACCTCAGTTATAATGTTAAATCCCTCTAGGTGAAAGGTGGAACAACTGAGCATTCCAGCACATCTTTCTTTTTTAATCAAGAAAAGAATTGTGGGCGTGGGGACTGCTGAAAGAAACCCGACCCCTAAAAATAGAAAGGCAATATACTGTTGGAAAGGAGTTAGTGCCAGCAACACCGTATCTCCCTTTCTGAAGAGCATCATGGGTCTCTTTCCACAACTTTTATTCCTATTTATTGGGTCTGTCTTCATATGTGGGTTCCTGAAAGTCTTCCAGCTGTATCAGAACAAAAAGAAGCTCCTCAAGACCTTCAAGAGTTTCCCAGGCCCTGCAAGCCACTGGTTTTATGGCCACAGCAAGCAGGTAAGGAGGATGGCGGCTTGGAACAGGATGGGCAGGATCACTTGAATTTCATCTGGTGCAAGCAATTATCCGGGGCTAGGAGGTAAAAGGTGGCCGGTCATTTGCCTGGTAGATGTGCATCTTCCCTGCACCAGCAATGACAAGCAGCACCTGCCAAAATCTCTTTATCGACATATTGCCGGAGCTACCATGGGCCTGTCTTCCTTGCATGTTGAGTATTCTGGAGTTATTTGAGGATGCCAGTAGGATTGTGATTCTGAATGCCAGAGACAAGGGCATCACAATTATAATGAGTGAGAGGGGTATTCTATTGTTGTCCATCGACTTCACTGTAAGGGAATGTTAGTTTTACTGGAAGCAGCCCTCTGCTGCAGCCCATCTCTCTATGTTTTAAGTTTGTTTGCCATGTAAATGCTGGGCTGTCCTTCAGGAGCCATGGCTGGCTTGTTTTGTATTTTTTTAACCTTTTCACAAATGTGTCCTCAAGATATGGCAAGAGCGAAAAGGAAGCAGAACCCTAACTGACCCTCTGCGCAGTTGTTACCATGCCCCATTCAGGTGACACAATGCAAATTCCAACCAGTAGAAGTCTTCTAAATGTCCAGGGAATTGGGAGCATGGAGTGCTTTGCCATGCCTGCCATACCTTTGCTCACTGGGCAGAAAGTGGCTCATTGAGGGCTGCTTCCTCTCTCACTGCACTGCAACTTTTTCCACCAGGAAAGAAATACCAGCAGCACAAAGCGCTGTCTAGAGCTCCAGCCAGGAATAATATCAGGAATAATGGCTGCATAGGCATGGCCACACCCCCCCAACCTCACCAGGCTAATGGGGTGCTTGGAAGGGTGCCTCTGGTCTCCCCACCCCAACTCACTTCCTCTCCTCTGCCGTTTGACACACTTTCCCAATCCTTGTAGATTATTGACCTGTGTTCATTGCCATGTCTGTATACACCGTTCACCCACGTTTCTCAGCTCACAGCTTCTTTCCATATCCCTTCTTCATGTTTCTTCCTTTCATTCCTTCCGGTTTCATAGTCTGACCTTTGGATTTGTATTTATCAATTAAAAGTAACGATTACAGGCACAAACAACTTTGCTTGCCTACTTTTCAGAATCTGTAAGACCCCCACTATTTAAAAGATTAGATTCTTCCTGCCTTCTTTATTAGAACATGTCCATTTAGTTTTCATATTATCTGACAGTTTTGAAGCCAGTAACCACTGTTGTTATCCTGCAGTAACTGCAGTTGGAATTAGAAGCAGCACCCCTATGTTATCAAACTCCGTATTTGCAGGTGAGCATTCCTATAGCCCCTAGACAACCTCTAGTGAGATCATAGGATACTTTGGATTCCCAGATCCAATACTAGAAGCAAGAACTCTGACTGCTGATCCCCTTCCTCCCACAACTCGGAGATGCCCTGGAAGAAGCTGTACCTGATGCTACCCAAGATCAGAAAGTCGAGCTAGGAGGTGGAGAAGTGAAGGGAATAAGTCTTGGGCTGCCAGGGTATAAGGAATCATGGCAGCATTTTGGCCTCCTCCTCTTTGCCTCTGAGCAGGTCTGTCTGGTTGAACGACAGAGCAGGAGTTGCAGGGCTGCGGCAGGTAACCTCTGGTGCACTTCTTGCTCTGCACTGGATGCCCACAGGGCTCCAAGTCAGGACTTATGAACACTGAGGACACAGTCAAGAGGATTGGACCTTTTCTTTTTCTTGTTTTGGCTACTTTGCTAAGGGACCCAGAAAGATACTGCTGGAAATGGGCATCATCTGTAGTATGCAGAATACTACAGATCAGTACGGAACCAGCAAGCGTCAAAGCTCATGCCCATATTCTAAATTCCTTGCAGTCTCTTAATTTCCCTACTATACAGGTTCTTACAAGCTTAATATAACCTTGCCTGTGTTTTATATCACTTTTGCAATGCATTTGCGTGAGCACCCTAAAGCATTGCAGACCTGAGTGTTAAAGAGGCAGTTTCTGCTACCTTTTATTTGCCACTGCATATGGCAGAGGTTCCCAGAATGCTGCTCATAGGCAGCTCCAATGGCACTCATGAAAGCCTTCCTCTCTGTTCCCTTAAAAAATAGTTTTAGGGGAAAAATAGGGTAGCCTTCCTTTTCTCTTTCCCTGCCACCAGCCTTGCTCCATGTTTTCCCTTCCCCTTCCTCTCTCCCTTTGCCCTCCTTTTTCTCTTTCTGTTGTAACCCCCCTCACAATCGAACATGCAGCTAGGGCATGGCTCGTCACAGGTAAGAAGCATGATCAGAGTGTCCTGTTCGCGTAAGAACAAGAACCCCAACGAATGTGCACGCTACGCAAGGCTGACCACAAAGCAGCCTTTGTTGCTACGCTCCAACATAACGTCACGCCCTGTACCCTCGCTTGCTTGCTTTAGCATAAAAAAAATGTGTGCGAATGTAGCTCAGTGGATTTCCCCTATTGTTCGCTGTTATTCAAGCACCTGCATAGCCGTCCGTGTAAAAGAGTATAAAAATCCTGCCTTCAAGCTGCTCAGCACCACACTCTCACGAGTGCATGGTCCCTGCCGGCAGGTAAATAAATCTCTCGGTAATTCCAACCAGTCTCTGGTCTCGTCTGTAAAATCGCCCCACAACACTTTCACCCTCCCAGCTTCTAGCTTTACTCCTTTCTTTGCTGTTTTGGCCCACTTCCCTGCTCTTTCACTCACTTCTCTCCACCTGTCTTGCTATTTTCCTCTCCCCGCCACCTCAATATTTCTCCCCAGCACCTCCTTGGCTTACTTTTGACGAGAGCGCAGCCCATTGGAGGCACTTGTTTGCAGCTTCTCAAATTGTTCAGTGTGTTGATAGGTACAAAAAGGCAGGTAATGAGAAACTCTCCCGTCCCGTCCCCCCCCCACCCCCGGCCCCACATTCAGAAGCTGACTCATAGTTTATGAAAAGGCATGGGTCAGGCCTATGACATGTCGGGACAGCCTTGTGGCCATCAGAAGTCCTGAGCCACCCCGGTCAGAACAGTCTTGGCATGGAGATTGAAGTCCCCCAGGACCAGCATCCTGGGAGTCTCCAACACCAGGTCCGAGATGATCTCTGTCAGCTCAGGCAGAGAGTCTGATGGGCAGAAGGATGCATGGTACACCAGCAGAATCCCCAATCTGAGAGGCACTCTAGACCCGGTCTCGAGAGAACCCTGCAAGGGAAATTGAGGCTCGATGGATTGTAGCGACCCCCCTCCCCTCCCCTCCGGGTGTGGCTGGTGTTGGACCAGATACCCTGGTGTTGGACCAGATACCCTGCTCGTCGCCTACACCAATACAGAGTGTTAGGTTTACAGAAAATGTTGGTACAATAGCATCCTGATGTCTTTAGGTATGACATGATGTTCTAAACCAATCAGAAATACTGGTAACAATACTATGGGAAACCATTACTGATTGCTGTATTGATAAGTCAGTCTAGCAAATTCTTGACACTTCAGGAGCTGTTTAAACATGCAAATGTGTCTGATGGAGGAGCCATTGGGAAATCTGGTGTGACAACCACACTCAGCAGGGGCTTGGCTCTGTGGGACTAGATGCTTAGGTGGGTCCATTCAGAAACAAATAGGCACCATTGTTTCAGTTTTTCTGCAGCTGATGAGAACACAGGTATTTCCTCACTAATGATATTAGCCTCCAGCAGCTTTTCAGTCTAGCTAAGAATGCCATCTTCTTAAGGCAACAGCAATGCTGGGAATTCTGCTGTAGTGTGAGAAAGAGGTATAGATTTGATTTTATAACACAAAGCAACATTTTTCTACCATGATTTATCTGAAATTTCCCAACAATATGCATGTGTTTCCTGTCTTTCCCTTTCCCTTCCCCTTTTTCTATATCAAGAATGTTAGTGATTAGTCTATATTGATGCATTTCATGAAATAAGTTTTCCCCATTTGGTTTCTCTCTCTCTCTATTTCATTGCCTGTTGCTACTGTTAAATTGCAAATAATGAAACAGAAATGCAAAGCATCCTTGACAAGTAATAAATTGGAAACTGTTCAAGGTTGGACTTTGCAACTCCTTTGATAAGACAGCTTAATCATATGAAGTTTACCTTTCTGTTCTCCTACAATTAGCTGAGAAGCTGGTCGAAGAAGGCTCCTGACTTCCCATGGCTGTTCTGGATTGTACAGGAAAATGTGAAGCAGGCTTTTGTTCCGAGGCTGAAAGACCTACTGGGCTCAGGCAAATCCTGACAGTTTAAAGTGTGGCCTCAAAGTCATCGAGAGAGCGTCCTCACTTGAGTGGAAATCTGGGTCTCCTTGGTCCTTATCTGGTGCTCTAACCATTATACCACACTGGTTTATATTACTGTTGGTGATTTTGCCTCTAGTTTTCTTTAACACGATGCTACTTGAGAAAGCACACGCATCAAGTGAGGTCTGGCATGCTAGCAAAAATGGGTGGCTTTGGACTATATACCATTTTGAGCACTATTTTTATACAGCATGCAGGCATCTTCTTGAAAAACTGTATCTGACAGAAAAATGTCAATGTAAGGGAGACCTCATCCTGCACAGTATTGACAGAATCAGGACGTGATGTCCTAAATATTTTCTTTTACTACTCTGTTACTGTAGACGGTTCGAGCACAAGAATTAGTCAAGGTCTTGGAATGGACAGAAAAATATCCATATGCCTTCCCTAGGTGGTTTAATGGCTTTATGGCTACCTTACATATCTCCCACCCAGATTATGCCAAAGCTGTGTTTAATCATGGAGGTAAGCATATTTATGTGAGATTTTCCTTACTCCTGTGCTCTACTTTCACAGCACAAATGCTGACTCTAGCAGGAATGTGGAGGGCATTGTGGTTCTAATTATCCCTTTGTTTGATGAAATAAGGCTGGTTTATCACTGGGACAATTTTCTTGCAGATTTTCCTGTGATGCCTTTTCAACCCTTACCTAGTGCTGAGCAAAAATATTCTGCCACATTTATTTAGATCATTCTTGTTCAATTTGATAGAAAAGAAACTAGCTTTATAAAAATCAAAGGAATTCTCCCTGTGTAACTGCCTTCTTAGACTGAAAGCTTCCAGTTCCACTTATAGTACCTGATTAAGTGGTTTCAACCCATAAAAACTAATGCCAGTTCATTAAACTATCTAAACAGAAAAAATGTAGTCCATATTTTTGCTGCACTTAACTCTTAAATCTGTGAACTGAAGGCTGACACAGTTATACCATGATATAACAAAGTAAGAAATTATTACTAGATTGTGCTAGCATTGCAGCACTAGATACTATAAGCAGAGCAGTGGTGAACAGACATTAGGCTCATGAGATCTAATTTACTTCCTACTAGGGACGCCAAGGTCCACCAACTTGCAAAATGCATTTACTTATAATTTTGAGCCCAGGAATTTGTTTGGAGGCCTGAATCGGAATGAACAGAATTTCAGTCCTTCCACAAAAAACCCAAACTCTTATTTATTTCACACTGTCTTCATTTTACCAATATAATTTAGGGTGGGGAAATCATTGTTATACTGCTATTGTTATACAGACGAGACTCTGAAATCCTTCCTGGACTTCTCAGATAAACCAGAGATCTACCCACCCGAGTTTACATAAAGCTCAGAAAAGCTTTAGTATGAACTGACAGTTCACACAAGGAATGACAATTCACTGCATGCACTTCTAACTGCTGTGGCTGCTTAAACAGGACAGGGAAGTTCATTGATAGGACTTGTATCTATCTCGTGGTAGAGCATGTCTTTTGCATGTGAAAAGTCCTGGGTTCAGTCCCTGATCTCTCCGGGCATGGCTGGGAAAGCCTCTTATGACATGTTAAGTATGGGTTGAATCATGGATTTTTGTTGAAACATGGGTTGATAACATTGTCTGAACCCAGCCATGCTCTGTTAAACATGAATAAGCCATGAAGAGAACCCATGGTTTGTTCTTGGGCTGGGATCAGCAGATTCTTTGTGGTTGAAAACCCATGGCTTGTTATGACGGCTGGGTTCAGAAAATATAACAACCAATATAGAAGCAACAACCCACAAACTCAGCAACAAACTGTAATCAACCCATGAGTGTGAGTTATCATGTGCAAATTCAGTCAGCATGTGTAGACTGGTATAGATCGATGTGGAACACACCTTCTAATAGTCTCAGAATGTTCACCATCTGGCAGACAGATTAATTTCAATTCAAAAAAGTGGCAGATAAAACAGAGTATTTCTAATAAAACCCTGTATCACAAATTTATATTGTGCTCACTCTTCAAATGAA